AAAAAAAAAAAAAACAGACAGACAACTAGTTAACATCTCTGTTCGCGTGCAGGCTGTTAACCGAGCTATCGACAGCGACTCCTTAATCTTGCACACGTTACGTAAAACCGCGTTTGGACTAGCCCACAAACAAGCCTGAAGCAAAGGGCCCGAAGAACAGATCCAGGTCCACTAGCCAGCCACATGGCCAAAATGCTAGCCCACCAGCTAATATTTGAAGGGGAAGCGTCCAGGGTTGAAGTCTCAGTGGGCTTCCGCTTCTCACGGCTTCACCTCATGGCGACAACGAGGCTTTCTGTAACAACGACGCTGAGCTACCAACGCTGCTAACCGAGTGCAGATATCTAAATATATAAACACACACACAGCGCTCAATCCCTAGCGTTAGCACACTTAGCTCGGTAGCTGACGAGTTAATTAGCCGATCAGCTACCAGTGAAGCTTTCACATTAGAGCAAAAACCAGAAAGAAAGAAAAAAAAAACGCCCATGCGACTCCACTACCTGTTAGTTGTGTGCTAACGCTCGTTAGCCACGCTAAGTTAGCTGGTTAACGTCGCGTAGCTACGTAGCGTTAGCCGGTTAGCAGAGCAGCGGCTTCACACACTACCACTCTTCATCACTCTTCATCATTCTTCATCATTCACAACCAGTTTGGACCTTAGTGTGACCTGACGGCCGGGTTATCGACACAGAAACTACCGAGGCTAAAGGTAGGCCCGCAGGCCGCTAAAATGAAAATAAATAACAGACGATACTGACCAGAAACCCGGCTCAATATTTGACACTGCTACACAACCGGCCGACAAGTGGTCTCGTTGTCGACCTTCGAGTCGGATCTAGGACAGGAAATAATCCCTGAACCCTGAGTTGATTCTACTAAATTGGGGGAAATATAACGAACCGACTCGCTCACACAATAAGCGAGAGACTGAATTTACCTGTTTCTTTTCCACTCTGACACCACGGAGAGCTGCGTCACGTGGTTCAACAGAGCGCTTCGAGGAAACTGGACCCACAACATGTGATCACACACAC